GATCTTACATTTGTTAGCTTTTTAATGTGCAGTTTGGTTCCAGCCAGGGTCGTCAGAGATAAGTCACTAATCATGTTGTTTAGCGGAAACCTTCCAGACAAGATGTGATTCTTCATAATATGTAATGTGAACCTCTGTAAAAATAAGGGGAAAAAGCGAGGAGAGGTAACATGTACACGAACTTCTCAATCCTTGTTTGAAGCAGTAAATATATAGAACTACTACTATCATGGTGCCCCTAAAAAAGAAAGAAAAGATTTCCCGACTTTTACCTGTGAAGATAATTACGCATTTGCTTTTAAAAGTTCCTTTTACACAAATTAAAAGCAATTGAATTGACATTATCATAACCTGCAGCATGTAAAAATGAAATTTGCTTATTCTGAGAATTTCCCTGACTAGATATTAAATTCCCTTACTTTCCACTAAACTTGAAGATTATATATAACAAAAAACATTAACGTTTTCAAGACCAGGGAAACCTTGTATTCATGTAATGCACAACTTTCATCAAGTTAAATGTGTGATAATTATGACAGTGACCTATATTGACCGAAGATGAGAGAACATGTCGAGTGAATTCTAATCTGACAAAAAATTGTAATAATTGGCACCTTGCTGTGTACTGCGCTGTTAACAGGCACAAACACTGTAAAGGTTTTTGACTGGGACTGTAGATCTTGAAATAAAAACACCGCCTCTGTACTGAGGGTGGTCAGTTGGTAGAGGGTCTGAAGGTAAAAAGGAGGCAAAGAAACAAAGATAAGCTATGAGAGTGACGAATGATCATCGCAGTAAATTTTCCAATTTAAGCAATTGGAAAGAAGAAGCCTGAAAAAAATCAGGGGCGTTGAAGCCCTGATTTTTTTTCAGGCTTCTTCTTTCCAATTGCTTAAATTGGAAAATTTATTGCGATGATCATTCTTCACTTTCATCTACAACCGCAGTTCAAATATGAATTATTTCATATACACTTCACAAAGATAAGCTATATTATAAGACAAAGTCACTGATAACTTATCACACAGCTAAATTGTGACATGTGTCCTCCTCACAGATGTAATTCGTCTACTCCTCACCCCCTGCAATCAATGCTGTTTGTGGTTTCCCTAACAACATTCTTAGCAGCACAGAGAAGAGAATATTGTGCAAGGGGGAGTTGGCGAAATAATTTTTTTTTCTCTACGTTACGGTAACATTTTCTGCAAATTAGAGAGAGAGTTTACATTTGCCTCAACAGGTCTTGTCCCGGATGTTAGTAATGTAGCTTCATATCCAGGGTCTCGTATAACATAGTTTGCGCAACAGACATAAACCGGGGAAGAGGGGGAGGGAGGGTGCCTCCCTTACCCCTTACCCCTTCCTCATTTATGCTGCGACGCAGCACATCCAACAGGGGTGAGGATGGTCATGGATTAATTCCTTTTGGAAGAAATCTGAATTGTTTCCAAAATAATTTGTGTCGCTGACTTATAAAAATCTTCCTTACTGTGTTTTAACCAAACTTAAATACAGTTTCATTTGTTTCCATAACATGATGTAAAAAAAAAACAACAACAACACTGAAAGGTGACATACCTTGTAGAATTCTGTAACGTTGCTAGTTTCTTGGAGCACCTTTACATTGGATAAAGATACTCAGTATATATGAGTATGGTCTGAGAATACCTGTAGCAAGCAAACTCGACAACAGCACACAGCAATACGAATATGTACACAAAACGTGCCATCTTAATAAACAATGGGTCCAAAGACTTTTCTATGCGAATTTTTTTTTTTTATGGCAAGGAGGAAGTAGGGAGGGGTGCTTTCCTTTAACCCTTTTGTTTCAAACTCAAAATATCACTTCTCCTTACTAGCTGTCATACGTTTCTTTTAAGGCGAACTTCTGAGAATTGGGTGTTATATCAAGTCAATAGAGCGGTTTTCAATTGAGTGTCAAAAGTAATCAGGCAATTACTTTGGTTTTGGTCTTACTACGGTGTGAGATTGGCTGAGTAGTCTCTTTGGTAAGTGGTTGGTTTGGTCTTGGTTTCACGACACTCAAATGAAAACCACTTTATCTCACCGCCTGTCTGGTTAACAATGTATTAACGCTATAAGGATAAATTACCTTGATCATCACTGCCTCTAATTATGATATATAATATTTGTATAAATAATTATAATAGTACACTGACCTCGACAATCACTCTACATGAACCAGCAGACTAATTTTCATGTATAATTCCCTTAGAAAAAGAACCTTGCTGACCTGTATAATGTTCCCTTCACAAGTTAATCCGTCTCCAGTAAAGCCTGAACGACAAGAACATGTGACCTTAACACCTGTAGTAGAACAAAATAAAACACCCTGTTCGTTATGGTCTCTTGAACTAGTTTCACTTAACGAGAAGAGAAGTTACAAGAAGTTACCATCATAGGAACACTCAGCATGGACGGAACATCCTCCGTGATTCTGAGAGCAGGGTGAGGCAGGATGATGAGGACGACACGTGGAGCCAACTTTATAAAAGCCAGCTTTACACAGGCAGCTTCTTGTTCCCTGGGAAGACAAGAATTTGTCAGTCATTAATCGGCTATATTAAAAATGGATCTAGGTTAGAGTGGTTTTCAACTGAGTGTCAAAAATAGTCAGGCCATTACTTTGGTTTTGCTTTTGGTTTTGGTTTTCCTTCAGTTTGAGATTGGCTGAGTAGTCTAATTGGTAAGTAATTGGTTTTGGTTTTGGTTTTAGGACACTCAATTGAAAAACGCTCTAACCTAGAGCCATTCTGCTTTTGACAGATTACAGCACCTAGCTTACATATATAAACTTCGAGAAGTCCCTCTTTTGCTTAGTCCGTCGTGCGTGACGCGAAAAAAAACCGCGAGACAAAAATAGCCGCGCGAAATCCTGGGGGCGAGGAGTGCGCGCTCCTCACCTCCAGGATTCCGCGCGGCCAATTTTTGTTGCGGTTTTCTTTCGCGTCACGTACGACGGACTAAGCAAAAGAGGGACTACTCGTAGTCTATACATATGAGACAGTGTTTACGATCCTAGTGGCTTATAACTACAAGAGCTCTGATTTCCAGATCAATGCTTCACTCCCAATGAACGCAGCGCTACTCCATTGCATGCTACCTATTGTTCCCTTATGTTCCTTAACCATGAAACTGTAAAACCAGGGAATAACATTACACACAAACTTACTGGCGCAGTAAACAAGCAAGTAGCATTGACACCACACCCTCCATTGTTAGTGGCACAGACGTCAGTCATCTGACAGTAGTATCCATCTCCATGGTAACCAGGTTTACATGAGCACGTCAAACGATCAACACCAGTTTGAGAGCAGGTAGCAAACACGTGACAGCCACCATTATCTGCCTTGCAGTCAACAGATGGTACTGAAAAGAAATCCCAAGATCAAAATATTAGTTCTCCTTACCGATCGTCATACATTTCTTTCAATGTCAATTATGATAATTTGGTGTTACATCAAGACAATATTCTTTATCTGATGATTTTCTTTATTCGCGTTAATAGTGTGAGAAACCACTTTTTAGCAATCAAAGGGTGTAAATGGCCTCTGAAAATTACAAATGATAAAATATGCTAAGGGTTCGAGAAATCGGGATGTGACTTACAAACTTACAAAACTCCTCTCCCACCTTGGTATTTATTCGCTCCACCCGACCAGTCCAACCTCCGTTATGACTAATCAGTTTAGTTTGTTCCACTTTCGAAAGCAATGGGCTAATGAAGTCACATCCTGATTTCTTAAACCCTTCAATTTTTAACCCTCCCGTTAACTCGAACTAAAAGTCGTTTCTTTCCCCTCAGTCAAACACTGTAATTTTACCCCTGATTTCTCGAACTATCCGATTTTTCAAACCAATTTTCGTATCCCTTAGGGGTTCGTAAAAACTCTAAGAGCAAAACATCATTTGAATATCTGACACTAAGGATACATTCACGAATCTTCCGCAACCGCTGATGAAAATAAACGACTTTGAAAGTCAATGTAAGATACCTGGACACGACGCAACAGTGCTGTTAATACACCGCTCACAAGCTGTGCCATTAAATGAAAAGTCGCACACGCATGTACCATCTCCAAGAAGCCCATCGATACAGCGACCACGCCCACTACAAGGTAACTGAATACCACCAGGACACACTGTACCAACATGAGACAAGAAACTGGTTAGAAAACACGCACTTAGGATTAAAAAAAATTGCTTGAAGGCGATACTGTGCGTGGCAATTTCAGGTGCTCACGATGCTGAATGGGCCACCCTGGCTACATAAAGTTTCACTTAAATAATTTATTCATCAGCACTCATTCTGCATGGTATGTAAGGTGACGGAACAATAGAAATAACACTACATCCCTTGGAATAGGATAAGGTAAAGTCTGTGTCAGATGGCCTATACAGCCAGAGTTTATCCCCGTTTCTGTCATTAAGCGACGAGGGCCAGGCTTTTTGCTTACAGTGCACATAACCCTGAAAAGCGTAACTTACCATCACAGTTTGGTCCATAAAAGTTCTTACAACATCTTCTAACTCTCTCTCGCTGTAAACATATCGGCTGGCAACCTATCAAATCTCCATCGTATGTGCAGTTGTGGTTCGTTGCACCCTAATGTGGTAGAGAGAGATGCAGGTACATGCATTTTGTTCGAGACCAATTCTCTATACCGATTGACAGTTAGTTTTAAGAATTTGATGGCATATCAAGGCATCTTCCCTATCTGCTTGAACATTTTATTGATAGTAAGAAATATATAATGTAGTGAGTTTAGGGGTTGAGCAATTATCTAAGGTAATTTCATTTGTTTACAACGTAAGCTCTCTTGACGAACACTTACTGTTTT